GAAGCCGAGGCCGTGCTGGCTCTTCTTGGCGTAGAGGGCGTTCTCGCGCTCGAGCAGCAGCTTCTTGAAGTGGAGATCGCTGATCTCCTGCGACATGCCCTTGAGCTTCAGGCCCAGCTGATCGAGCACGACCTCGAACGAGAACGACGCGTCCTCGGCCTCCGTCGTCTCGTCTGATGAGACAGCGTCGCCGCCCGTCAAGGTTGTCGCGGTGGTGGAGCCGATGTGTGCGTTGTAGAGGGAGCTCAGCTGGCCGCGCAGGGCCTTGAGCTGCGCGTCGAGGGCGCCGATGACCTCCTCCTGCTGGACGAGCTGCTTCTTGAGCTTCTCCTCCTCGTCCTCGTCTGCGGCCAGGTCAACGGACCCCTCCGGCCTGAACTTGGCAAGCTCGCTCTTGGTGCGGTCTAGCTCCTTCTTCAGCTTTTGGAGTTGCTGTTGTTGCGAACGAGAAGAGGTTAGTGAGAACCATTAACGCTGACAGATGATGATGACGATGATGATGATGATGCAAAGGCGAGGCGTACGATCTTAAGCGAGTTGTTCTCCTGCTTCACCTTCACGTGGTGCTGGATCTTTTGGTTGAGGTTCTGGTGCCCGGTGAGCTTGCCATTGATGAGCACCAGCTCTTCGACGCGAGCCTCCAGCTGGTCGAAAGAAGAAAAATGAAGAGAAGAGAAGAGAAGAGGCCGTCAGCACCATTCACCTTCACCCCGACTCTTTTGACTCATTGTAGAATTCTCGTTGAGAGCCTCGCTTCCGTTACCTGGTGCTTCTCCTGCATGAGGGACTTGAAGTCCTTCTGCATGCGCGTGATCGTGTCATTGAGGCGCGCGATCTCGTCCTGCGCCTGCCTCTCCGCCTGCCGGCGACTGTAGTGGAAGAAGAAGAACGAAGAACGAAGAACGAAGAAGAAGGGGAAAGGTCGGTGAGATCATCGTGTGGTGGAGAGGGATTGGGATTGGGCCAGGTTGTGACCGCAGCAACAACGTACGTTTCGATCTGCTTGATGTAGTCGATTCGTTCGTTGATGGACTTCTCGATTTCCTCCTTCATCACGGCAAAGTCGTGCATCATCCGCTTCTCCTGCGCCGTGAGCTCCTCGATCTCGCGCCCGTGCTTCTCCTCGAGCTCGGTCAGCTCGGCCTTCTTGGCCTGCTCGAGCCGTGTCACCTCCGCCGCCGCGCGCTCCTCCACTTCGCGCCTCGCTCTGGCCTCGACCTCCCTGAGCTCGGCCATCTCCCTCTCCTTGGCCTCGAGCGCGGCGGCCAGCTCGGCGCGCTGGCCCAGGTGCAGCGTCGCCAGCTCGTCCCTCTCCCTGCGCGCGTCGTCCTTCGCGCTCTCGATCTCGCTCTCCTTCTCCCGCACCAAGCGCTCGAGGGCCTCGACCTCGCTCGCCTTGGCGCTCAGCAGCGTGGTCAGCTGCTCGAGCGCGGCGTCGTGGGCCACGCGGAGGGTCTCGGCCTCGCTCTCCCTGCCCGCCGCCTGCTGTGCGAGTTCGGCGTCGTGCGCCGCCCGCAGGGTCGCGATGGCACTCTCGCTGTCCCTCGCCAGCTGCTCGCGTTCGGCGTCGTGCGTTGACTGGAGGTCCCGGTTGGCGCGCTGCGCCGCGTCCAGCTCGTCGCGTAGAACCCCCAGCTCGGCGGTGAGCTCGTGGCTGGTGGCTGCGATGCTCGACTCGAGTCCAGCGATCTGCTGCTCGAAGGCCCTGCGCTGCTCGTCGGTCCGCAGCTCGAGCGCGGCCTTGGCCTCGGCGACGGCCGCTAGCTCCTCCTCGATGCGCGACAGCTCGCCGCGGAGGCGGGCCTCGGTCGCCTGTGCGGCGTCGGCCGTCTGCCGGAGCCGGTCCTCGAGCAGGGCCGCGGTCCTCTGGTGCTCGAGCTGGGCGTCGTCCCGGTCCTTGCGCGCGCGGGCGATCAGCTCCTCCTTCTCCTCGTTGAGCCGCAGGATCATGCCCTTGGTCTCCCGCTCGTCCTCGCGGCCCCGGTTCTCCCACTCGGCCCACTGCCGGGCCATCTCCTCCTTGATGCGGGTCATCTCCTTCTCGTAGTACCGCCGCTGCTGGTCGAGTGCCTCGGCCTTGGCCTCGTCGAGTTCCCGCTCGCGGTGGTCGCGCCGCTCCTTCTCTGTCTCGAATTCGAGCGCCCGCCGGTCGAGCTCGAGCTGCAGCTTGGCGAGCTCGCCGTCGCTCAGCCGCTGCATGGCCTCGACCTCCCTGTTCAGCGAATCGATCCGTCGCTCGTAGTCGGCGGCCTGCTCGTCGGCCAGCTGGGCCAGGCGTCGGCTCACCTCCTGCGACTTGGCCTCGGCGGCCTCGAGCTCTCGCGTCAGATGCTCGATCTCCTCGTCCCGGGCGGCCACCACGCGCTCGCCGGCCTTCGCCTGCTGGGCCGCCTGCGCCC